AAAAAGAGGAACACGTTAAGATTAAATAAAATGATAATGAAGATTCTGATGATATGGATATTTTTAGCGAAGATAGATCAACTAAAAGCAAAGCAGTATGCGAGTACAAACCAGCGCCTGAAGTAAAGTATGGTATATTTGCTCATTGAACAAGATATTTGGAAAGCAGGGATTAAACGTAAGGACAGTGTATTAAACGTAACGTGACTTTGTGCTTAAATATTCAAAATAATCCCTTTTTGAAATTCCACAATAAATAAAATTATTAAAACCCGTTTGTTTACAAAATAAAATTTCCACGATAAAACCAATGTTCTCTTCATCAAAACTCTTATCATAACATGAATTTAAAGTATGACCCCGGTGACGCAAGCAGCGCCGCTGAGGGTCGTCGGGTGGGTGGCCTCTTCCTCGCCCCTTCGCTAGGAGGTCAGGACGGTAGATGGCGTCCCAGGCGCGGGAAACGGCTGATCGGTGCCGACGGTGTGGCTCGCGGCAGCAGTGGTTGCGCCTCGGCCCATCGTGAGTCCCCGATCTCGGGTTCGGCCGCTCACACAGTCATTTCCCGGCAAGCCTATTCTTTGCAATTACTGCTCGATGTTCGTCGAGGTTCGAGCAACACCGGAGCGGTCCGCGATGTAGCAGCGATGTATTCCGTCGGCGGCTGCGCGGCTGCTGTGTGGCATCTCGAGGTATGCGGCAATGTCCTTTAGCAGCGCGGGCGCGGCGTTCGGCGGCGAGTGGCTGCGTGTTCAGCGGCGTCCCCCAGTGACAAAAGAAACTTTTAAGCTCTCTCCTCCCCCAGCATAATCTGAACTTCTCGCTCTCGCCTCCTACATCAGAAGTGAACTGGTTGCTCTCGGCTCCTTCATCAGAATGTGAACTACTCGCTGCTGTGGCCGACTGCCTACCTTTAAAAGTGCCACCGGAAATTAGTTCCGGCGCCACTCAAGAGATGGCAGCAATAGCAGACGCTCGACCAATCTCCGGAGCGGACGGGCGCACCCGTACCTGACAGCTGGCCAGCGGACCCGCAGCCCAAACCGGCTATAAGGGCAGCGCCCGGCGAGCAGAGAGATAGTCAAGCGCCTGCCTACATTGTGAAGTGATAAGAGGATTGTGAACAAGTGCGACAACACACCTACGGTTACGGACTTTCTCTCTCTTGGAATAGTGAACGGCTGCGATTTTGGACATCTCCCCGGGAAATTGTGACTTGGACATTCTTCGGTACATCTTCTGAAAAATTGTTTGGATCTGGCTTGAATTTGTCTACCTCTGTACTGATTGGGGTTCGAATAAATCCATTTTTAGAAATTGCTTTCTTTTGGATACTACACTCGCTCTCGTCTCCTGCTTTCGAATGAACTGGTCGCTCTCGCCCCCATCAGAATGCAAACCTCTGACCCTCACCTCCTACTTCAGAATGATCGAGCTAGTGAGCCTCCCTTGATTCGCGGGGTCACGTGGCCCTCCCCCGCTTCGTTTTTGGAGATTGGCAGGCGCGCATCACGCGGGTTCTTCTGCCCAATTGCGGTGTCATCGGTGACTCTTTCAATCATGATTGTACGCTGCGCTGTTTAATTATGAAAGTGAATAAGGTAATTTGCTTGTGGTCACTCTTATTCATGTAAAAACACTTGACTTCTTGAATAATAAAAAATGACTAAATTAATTATTTTGTGATTAGTTTTAGATGTCAGAAACATAGATAATGATTTTTAAATGTATAATTTAATAATTTTGCTATCTATTTTAAGTGTGCAAAACGAAAGTTTTCTCACGTAATAGTGCCTAATTTCATAATTTTCTTACCTATTTTAAATGCCTAAATTATCACTTTTTTGTGCCTAAACGTCCGAGGTCTAGTTATGAAGTAGATTATATTTAATAAGTTGTCAAATATTTCAACTTAAAAATACCAACAAAATCGTTCATGGAAACAGAATTCCATGTATTAACTAGTGGTGATAAAGCAGCACATACTTTCTCACCCCTAGTAACGGTTACGTGTTATATAGCAGTTTCGTTCGAATTAACATATCTCGGCCCTCATTTTTTGTAAAGCTTACTACAATTTGTAGAATATTAGGTGCGAAAACAAATTATTTTTCAGTATTAAATTAACACAATTCTGTATCAATTAACACAAATTTCACAATTAAAACGGGGTTTCATACAGCTATCGAGTCAATGATGACATGGAAGTCTTAGACAATCCAACTGCAGACTGTCGGTGCGGAATGCCAGTGTCGCAATCCTATCTGATATTTCCTGAAGGCTAGCAACACGAAATTGGAATTTGCAGAATTATGCTAAATTACTCGTTTTTTTAACAAAATGTACATGACCTTTATAAAGAACTGAATTTTTAAAACAGTTTTTATTTAATCACAAATACTCTTATAATTCAAATTGTACTTTTGTAATGTTAATTTCGTTGTTGTTTGCAATTTCCGAAAATATAAGAGAGTGCTCCGAAAATAAGGCCGGCCCCAATTCCTTTGTCTTTCTTTCTACTTACGAGAAAAAATTAACAAAAAAATATGAAGACATTTTTTGAAATATAATTGTTATAAAAAAATCAATATTTCACAAGTTCGTGCAAAATTATGATTCTCAATGTTTTCAATTTTTCTTTCACTTAAATTTTATTTTTAAGAAAGAATCGTAATTGGACTAGATTCAATTAAGGTTTGCGGATTGCTTGAAAGACAGCACATGTATACATGAAGAATACAAATACATGTTTCGCAATACGGACAAAAAATGTGGATTATCGTATAGGTTTTATATAATTTCTAAAATATTAATTTGTAAACGTAAACGTATAACGTTAAAAGCTCGAATGTAAGAAAAGAACAAAGAAATATGAAATAATATACAAATTCTAGCTTACGTAGTATCCAATCATTTCTCAAAATACGTCCACGAAGTGCGGGAAATTCGATGTGGTCTACTACGTTTGTCGCCAAATTACACAGAAAATGCCTATATTTTTGAAACATTGAACATCACCTTATTAAAGATCTGCTTTTGATGAACACATTTCATTAAGGAAAAAAATGTATCTTCATAATTGTAGTTGTAGGAAGACGCCGAAAAAATATTGAATTTTTGTAATTTTTAAACAATTAGGCATTTCAATGAACATGAGATCTTCACTACTATCTTAAGTGTCGTTATGCCACCCGAGGACAAAATTTAATCAAAACACTTGTTCACGTTTTTGAGAAAAAATTGTTTAAAAAAAATAAAAATTGCCTATATTTCAGGCAAAATTACGCGAACAGTACTCAAATTTTCGAAAAATTGTAGATGATCTTATTTCAAAATATGTTCATAAAGAACAGATTTCAATAGGGGTAAGACGCCGAAAAAATTGAACTTTCGCGATTTTCGAAAAATTAGTGTTTTTTGACGAACATGAGACCTGCACCATTCTCTTAAACGTCTTTCACACTTGCCAACAACAAAGTTTAATCAAAAAAGATGGGGCAATTATTTTGTAAATTTTGCAAATCTTCCAGAAGCTTAATGTACAGTACTCCCAAAATTAAATTATCGATTTCAAATTCAAGGGGCTGCTACATCAGTCAGGTCGATTAGGGAATGTCAATTTTGAAGGAAATCGGCTGAACATTTTTATCGCTAGCGAGGTTCACAAACAGACGGTCAGACGTTTTACCTTCAATCGATTATTCAGTATCAAAGACCCACAAAACATGTATTCTGGTTACACCATGTGCTAGAGAATTTACTTTTCTAAATTTAGCAAACTGGATTTATCCAATTTTTGTTACCAGGACCCGACAATATGTTTTTTCTCCCTAAAATTCGAAGTTTTCCCCCTTAGCAGTACATAACCTTCTCTCTACTGCATATGCGGTAGCGAGAAAGTCAAAAAGTGTTAAGTTATGTAACACATCTTCATAAATAATTATTTAAATTACCGTGTATAGTGTTACGATAACATAAATTTCATTCTCGGAATTCACGGGGTCGAGGTACTACATACGCAATGGTTAGGACAACTGCCTATTATTCACGATTCAAGAGATAATTCACACAGTGGTAGGATCCGATTTTAAGAGAATTCTTCTAGGAGTAGCTAACATTTTGCTGAAGAAGCTTCGCAAGCTCAGGTTTTGCTTCGAATTACGCGCCCACTCTTGGATCAATTACTTAGCAAAGAGTGCTCGCTGTCGCCAACAGATTACAGCACGTGCTACGACTTGAAGTGGAGGACGTTTCCAGTTCGGTTTTATGCAGGATGTCAATGGAATTGGTTGTATGTTTTCCCTCCATTCTGAGTTTCTTCTAAATGCTAATGTGAAACTTGTTACTAACATTATAATATTACACATCTTTGGTATAATTTTCATAATTTGTGATATGGACTTCAATATATTAAAATATATTTTCAAACCTTTCTAAGCATTTTTACGATATTTTTTAATCACACGCATCCTAAGGACACAATGAGTAAATGAATATGTATTTCAAAATTTTTCGGCAAAATTATTATATTGCTAACGCGATTTTCTCTTTGCTAATATCTAATATTACGGCATAAACGTATACCAGGCGACCTAGAAGTATAAGCGTAAACATTATCTTCACAACCATTGGGGCAATGATTAATAATGTGTTCTTCTTTAGGGTTTACTGGGATTAATGGAAACGGTGTTTTACTTACGCAAATCTTTTCTATTTCAATTGCTTTATTTTCAACATGCTCATTGTATAAAAGTTTAATTACTTTGCTGAAAATAGCTGGCTGCATGCCAGAATTAATCCATATTTTTAGGAATACATTCAATATTGACTTCATTACGTTTTCAGTCAAAATGTATTCTGATTGTCTAATTATTCATTATACCGTTCATGTAAAGCAGTTATTCGAATTCGTATATCCGCCTTTGGTTTAAATATAAGGTACCAACAAAACAAATAGAAAGTATATATGAGTAATTTTGTTAGTGTAGTAAGGTTGGCAAGACACGTATTATGGAGCAACTGTGAACCTGTCAGTGCCTAAATTTCTAGAATTGCAGTGCGTCAAATGAGGGCCTGTACTGCAAATACGTGTAGAGTACACAAATAATGGCAAAACGTGAATATAACACACAAATGTTTTCCTCAGTATACTCGTTTATGCATATTTGGGTCATCACGTTTGCGCAGAAATTTGAATTTTCTAGAAATTGCAGGATCTTCACAGAATAGGAACATTACTGTTCATGGATTAGCTCTTGCACAGCAATTGAAACAAAATTGTTTATGTGATGGATTCAGTAGACGAACTGCTATTTAATGCAGTCACAGATGGGGATGCCAACCGGGTTTCTTGTCTTTTGGCTCAAGGTGAGTACTTGGACAATTTTGTTCATTCATTTTCTTAAGTTTGAGAATAGTCAATAATGTTATCACTTTATTTTTTAGGAGCTAATGTGAACATAGTATGTTCATCAGGAAGAACTGCCCTTGGCTCAGCTGCAGAAACAGGAAACTTGGCCATCCTGAAACTGCTGTTGGATGCCAGTGGAATCAATGTATCAGTATCAAAAGATCAAGATAATCAACAACACCACTTGAAAAAACAGAAAGGAAAAAAGAGCCGAAAAGAAGCAAAAGCGGCTGCTGTGAAGACCTACTTGTATGACAGTGATGATGATAGTGATGGTGACATGCCCCACAAGCCAATAGGTTATGATCACAGCAAGTCTCATGAAGAGGCAACATCAGATCAAGGTAATGACGGCTGTGAAAAAAACAATCTGGGGTATTTCATAATGGTGCATGGGGAGGATGGGGATGAAAATTTAAATCTTAGACGTCCGGTGCTTGATTCAATCAATGTACTCGATGATTTGTGCACACCAGATGGGATGGAGAAACTAGAATGGGACGTCGAAGTAGAGGGTAGTGAAAATGCTGAGGCTGACGACGACTCATTTACATCTCTGTACCGATGGTATGCAGATATCCTTGACCGCACAGGTTCCTTGCTGCAAAACTCCCATGAGTTTGATGTCAATCATCAGGATGTGTATGGCAGAAGTGCTGTGCATTATGCTGCTGAACACGGACACCTAGAAGCCCTCAGATTACTGTCAGCTGCAGGTATGTTTGTATTCTTGCACTTTTGTTTTGTAGCTAATAAAATATTACATTAATATTAATTTAATGATGCAATATGATTACTTAAATTATGTAAATTTCTAATGAGCAAATTAATCTCTCACCTTGTTCTAATAGTTGACTGTGCTCACAGTTTACATGTAGTAAATGTCATGGACAATTCTCTATCACATTTCTTTTTGAAGTAAACCATAGCCATGACATGTAATATTGATTAACAAATAATAATGTAATATTGTCTACCTAAAAATTGAGCTTGCATGTTGCTTCTTCCATCCATTCCACAGCTAGAATATCCAAATAAAACAGTGCTAACTCTAAAGGCAGGGTGTAGCATTAACAAACTTTAAAAGCATTCTTCAGGGTAGAGAAAATAAACCTTTGTGTGGTTCAAAAGTTAGTGAAAGGGACAAAATAAAGAATTCATTATGACATATTTTTATTTAAATTGGGATTTTTAAAATCAGGTATAAAATGAAGAGTATAGTTCGTGCAGTTGTGCATTTTTAGTTGCAATCTTGTAATTGCAAAATATAACAAGAAAAACTTAAGTGTGAAATTTTATGGCAAAAATAAAATATCAAAGTAATTTAAGCGATGTATGTATCTCATAATTATCTTGTAAATGAAACAAGTGAACCAGTTCAACCACAAAGTGATCTCACACAATCCAACTATACTTTGTTTCTTACCCATTTAATGCAACTTTTATATGCATCTTTTAGTATTTGTCTTAGATTTCAGCTCCTCCATGTTATGTAATTTTTATTTACAGGTTGTAAACTGGATATAGCTGACACAGACAATTTTACTCCTCTTCATTTGGCTGTTGCTAGAGATCACGTTCCAGTTGTTAAAATGCTAGTCTCTGAAGGCGCACAGGTAAGAGATGAATGACGTCTTTCAAATCAAAAATTCCAGTATTGGAATTGGACACATTCACTGTAGAATTCTTTCCAGGATTGTATTTTTTCAAATTCACATCTTGTTAAACTCTCTTACATCTTAATATTACTTCCTGAGTATAACTCTTTCTCATTCTTCCATTCCTTATCCATATGTGATGAGTGTCTGATTACTACAGTGTAAAAAATTACTTATTTCTATAATATCATATTTTGGCTTGTTCAGTGCAAAATGAATGTATGAATTAGAGAAATACAATTTCACAGTTAAAGATGGTCAGTGATGAAAAGTTAAAAGTGTAGTATACGACTTTTATATTCATATATGTGAATGGTAGCTGAGTTGTGTGTATATGAAGTGTATCGAGTGTGTTTATTTAGATATCTAACTTTTTTTAGTGTTCAAAGAGGATTATGTTGATAAAGTGCGTTGCTATCAGCCATTGACTTCCTTGCTGTTTCTGCCTAATTAATACACATTTCTTTAACTAACATGCATATTTTAAAGAAGGTGAAATTGATAAACATAATTTTTGATACATTTTTTCTATATCTAAAACTTTTAGGAACAGGGTTTATTCCTTCCGTACTTTGTGTGGTATGGAACTTTTTAAATAGATAAACGTGCTTAACCCGAGTAAACCTTTAACCATACTGAGTGACGGTATGAACCAAGGTAGGCTTGGCTTGTGTAAGAAGCCAGAGGTCTCTGATGGGCTATGAGTCACTGTAAACTAATGTATAAATATAAGAGGTCAAATAGGCATTAGAGTTGTTTGTAAGGAATCACACATTTTATGCTAATGCTATAAAATATTCAGGCTTTCATATATTACAGTAAATAAGTATCAAAACAAGAATACACTATTCTATATATTGGCTGCCACACACATAATTTTTCTGGATACAGTAGCAATACAGTACAATAGAGTATCTGCTGCTGCAGGTGTTAAAAAATGTATCTTTCTGTCACAATTCAATTCTTACAAATGCTTACAAAAAAATTGTGCTAGTTATGTGGGTGCAACTATGTAATGTAAACTTCAAATTTAATTGCAAATTGCTAACATAGAGTTAATGACTTTCAATAATCTTCATAATTTTGTTTCCAAAACATCTGTGTTCTTTACATATAATACATTATTTTTTTGATTCTCCGTGAAAAACATTGCCCGTGTATATGATGTGCCCATGATTTGCTTTCCCTTTCTGAACCACAACCCTAAAGAAAAAACAATCATGTTTTACTGCAACAAAAATTTACACTATTTAGGTTGGCCAATAATTATTGATAATATTTATTGAAGATGGATCCAGGGGAAGATGGATTGGGGCTAAAGGGTGGATTTCAGTTCAGATTCCCATAAATATTTTCGAAATATTTTTTTAATAGCTTGATAAAATTAAAAATATGTATTAGTGCATTCATAGTGGCTGCTTTGGATGTGATGAGATCTATATATGATAATTATTTTGAATCAATTGATAAAAAGGAACAAAAATGTGAGCTTGAGGATTGGGATGCCAACACCATCCTGCCTCCCCCCCCCCTTGCTTTTATCATGTAGACAGATTACTAAAAACAATATTTTTCCACATTACTGCATTTTATTTATTAATTTGTTTACACAAAATGAGAAGCAGCAAAGTGGTGTACTTTACTTTCTAAAAGTGTAGGAGTATTTATTTCAAAATTAAAGATGAAGTACTTTTTAATGCAATTGATAGAAAAAGGAATTTGACATCCACAGGTAAACCGCAAAACGAGTGACAAGACATCTGCTTTGCATATGGCTGCATCTCGTGGACACATAGGGGCAGCGGAGGTGTTGTTGGGAGCAGGCGCGTCTGTCGATGCCCTAGACTCTTCAGATCGCACACCGCTGCTTCTGGCCGTGTCTCGAGGCCATGAAGAGGTCGTGCAACTGCTCCTCCACAATGGTGCCAAAGTCAACATTGAAGAAATACACGGTGGGTTGTGTGGGTCATTCACAAGTGTAATGGGAGAGAATCACAAATGCTAAAGCTGGTGCTGTATTATTGAATGGAATCATTCATAATTTTGGTAATTGTATAATACTTAAACATATGCTGTAATCACGAAAATGTGTAAGCTGCAAGGTTGCACAAACGCACAACTGCAGTTAGATCCAAAGCATATTTGTTTGATAGAAATTAAAGCAGGTTGTTAATTCATAAATTGCCATTCATCATCATAATTGCTCTCTAATTGCTTCATAGAATCGTTTTTGGGGCCTATGATTTTCCAAATAATTATTATCTGAGCATGATCATATCCATTTCAATTGTATGTCGTATCCATTTCAATTATGTCCTATAGTCCTCAGAAATTTTTTTGTTAGTTTGCCTTACTTAAAAATAATATTGTTCTTCTGTGAAATGCAAGTTCGTACAAGAAAAATACCATTACCTCAGATTTTCAACAACTTACACAAACAATGTGTATTGATCTCAATATGAAGAAAGATCGTGTTTATGAGAAAAAACAAAAATCCTAACCTGCTCGACTGTGTGTATGTGTGTGGGGAACTATACCTATGCTTACCCAATTGTATAGGTAGGTCGGAAAGTGTTAGTGCTATAGTTACTCCACTTCCCATTTTGTGAGAGGGGGCTCAAGAGAATTTTATCTTTGTTGGGAAGAGTCTTCTTAAATTCTCTTGCCTCAGCGTAAGAATGATCCTGGTGTAAGTAAATTAGTATATAAATAAAGTAGTATTCACAAGCATGCTTTTGATCTTGCCTCATTGGCATGTATCTTTACCTTCAAAGAAACGTGTAACCACAAACTATACTAATAGCAGCAGCAACACTGCCAACTCTGATAAGCTCAACGTTATTAATTTCATCAGTGACAAACGCAGTAAATATTTTTTCATGTACTTCAGCCAAAACAGAGAATTTCGATTGTAGTAGAAGTATTCAGGGTTCAGTAACAGTTTTCAGGATTTTGCCATTGTTTCCCTCTCTCTCCTTAATTGTGCTTTCAAGTTATACAAGTAAGCCAGTAAATGTATAATTTTGGCAAGAACTACTTTTAATAGCAAAACATTTATTCGCTCACATTTGAATGTTTTACTCAGAACAGCAAATTGAAATGTAAGTGTTCAAAAGTGATAAAGACTGGTTTAGATTCAGACTTTCAAGAGTGAAATTTTTATTATTGTTTTTTTCTTGAGACTCAAGTTTCAACGGCCTTATTTTGCAGGTATGTTTTTGTTATTAATTATCCAAATCTGAGCACTTAATTGATTCATTGATTATTTTGTGTTTCCGGATGCAGCAACTGCTAGACATTAATGCCCTAAGAGTAGTGCATGTTTTATGTTCGGAGGTGGCACTGTTCTTCCCCTACTGGATGGGGAGATCTAGTACCACAAATCAAACCACCTCCACCAGCAAGCCACAGCCCCTGCCTGGACAAACTCAGAGCTTCAGCGTTAGCCTGGTATTGATCAGGGAAACCATGGAAATCTATCAATCTGAGCAGCCCGCCACTAGAATATCCTCCAGACAACAGCTGAATTCGATAGAGAGCTGTTGTTGAAAACCCTAGTACTGCCAGGACTCAAACCGTAGGACCACCCATTTAGAGGCAATGCAGTGATATCATTTAATGTCATGAGCCACCTCAGCTGGAGATCTTGTCAAGAGATATAGTGAGTCATGAGCACTCTCTCCTGAATATCACCGCACATTGATAGGCAATATTCAAAGTTATGTGATAGCATTTTAAGTTGGTTCAATTGAATCATTTATTTCAGAAACCTGTCATACGCCTAAATTTAATTGGCGCATTAATGGCGGATTATTGATCCCAGAGGATATACACATAGTTTAGTGCATATTTATATGAAAAATAATAATTTATTTACTGCTTCAATATATAAAAATATTTTGAAATCAGATGAATTGGCACACTTTTTCTGTTTTCTCCTAATGAGGAGTTTGGTGTTTGACAGGTTTCTGAAATAAACGATTCAATTGACCTACATCTTAAAAATCTTTATGATTGAGGTGAATTCTTACCCACTGTCAGTGGTTCATTTAAAAGTTCGTTCTAGTTTTCTTAACAGTTTTTTTGGGTGATTACAGTTTGTGTTTATACTATTTTTAATTAAACATCTTTATGTTATGTAAATGAACTTGCACATTCTATGGTATACATAGAGTATTCCAGTGTGTTTAGATAAGGCTGGGAACTTTTTGATCATCCTTTGTATTTGTTGAATCTGACCATTTTCATAGGAAGAAATACTTTTCTGGGTCCCATTCTCAAAAAGAGCTCCTGTTTTCCACAAAAAAATATTTGGTACTAAAAACGCTACTATTGGTGATGGTTCAAATGTTTTTACAGTGCTTTGTCATCTTCCTTGGAAAAATGTAAATAATTGCTCATTCAGATGATATAAAATTGAATATTAAAGATCTGTTAACTTAGCATTCCAGTAGCTCAACTGTGTGGGTTGTAACCAATGTACCCAATCCAATGCATGGATGTGTCAGTTGTATTTGTGGCGTGGGAGGCATTCCCAATCCCTCGCATACCACCTTTAAACCTTGATCCCTCGTGAATTCCTAGACCGTATCCACTAACGTAGCATCTCATGTAAGGCATCGTAGGATTACTTGGGGAGGTGCTAATGAGGAAGCTGAATCCCTATATCCATAGAAAGGTACAAGCTCAGAGATGAGCTCAAATGCAACATTGCCAGTCGAAGGTAGAAGAAAGGTTAAGGCAGTTCCAAGAGTTACCTTGGTGCTTGAAGCTATATTTCAATTTATTTGTAGCGTCCTTTGGCAGGTTATCAGCTGTGATGGTGTCATCCAATAGGAAGTGTAAATGTCATCATAGTGATGTCACTGTGGTGATGTTCCAGCCTCCATTTGGCTGACACCAAAACAGCTGATTTACGACCCTATGTTTAAATCGAAGAATAGATAGGGCAATCTTCTGGGTCTCTTAGCAGCTGATAGATGGCAGCCAGGTAGAGACTCAGGCAAAAGCTGGAAAAACTCAATTCTAAAGAAACAGAGATCGCCTATTATATCCATTTGTTACTTAGCTAATGTGTCATCATAAAATTATTTGATGACTGTAGCTGAAACAAACTGCTTATTTCTAGGATACACACCGCTTTGTGAAGCAGTGTGGAAGAAGGCAGTCCCCTTAGTGCAGATGCTTTTGGATGCTGATGCCAAAGTGACGCAGTCACATTACCTCCTTCATGATGCAGTCATGCACCGACACCTTGATATGGTTCGCCTGCTGGTTCGGGCCGGTTGCATTGTGAACCTCCGGGATGAAAATGGCGACACGCCGCTTATTGTGGCAGCACGCACTGGTCACATCCCAGTTGCAGAGTTGCTCTTGGAAAACGGTAAGTGAAAATCCTTCAAGTGTGTATTATAGAAATAACTTTAAAATACGAATGTGATTTTTATTTTTTATTTACTTAACAACAAAATATTTACACCCTTGTAATAGTAACTATTTGCATCAGTAAATAGCTACTTAAAGAGCTACTCATTTTGGCTTTCATCCCATATCATCACTCATGTGAAAGAATACACTTATTACTGAGAGAATATAATGAAAAATTACTTTGTGGTACTGCTAATGAAATAACTAAAATCCCTATTATGCAACCCAGGGCTCATGGAAACATTTGTAGATTGCTACATTCATATTCAGAAGCACAGCAAGGGACCGTCTAAAAATATTTTTATAATTTTTTATTTTTATTTTAAGAAGTACATAGACAGCAGGATAGATTTCTTTATTGGCTTATTAAGTACATTATAAACATATAAGTGAGGCGTACAATTATATTCCAAAGATGCTGCTTAATTTAACACTTTGGTTGACAAAGTCAAAATAGTCAGTGAAGATGTCAACTTCAAACTGCGGGTTCAAACATGATTTCCATGGTCAGACAGAAGAGTGGGCCTGATGGCCTGAGTCTCACCACATAAAACAAGTTAAAACTCACTGTCAATGACTCTCAGTGGGTACATCCCTGATACTCTGAATTCTTTATATTTCAAGAATTTACATTGACATCTTTCAAGTGGGCCATCTGCAGACATCTGCCATCAGGGGATCAGATTTCAGCAACTTATGCCAATTTAGCTCTAACAGGAACAAAGAATGTAACTCATTGTATCGCAATACACCTGATCTTCCTGCGTCATCTTACAAGAAAACTCTAAGAATGTATTTATTGACTCACATAATTAACTCGTCAATGGGTATTTAAAAGATAGTTGACAGTCAATAATCACACCAAGATTCTTAATTGTAGACACAGATTCGAAGATAACATCATTAATAATAGAAATGAAATTCCTTTACTAGTATTGAATGCCGTAACTACATCTGTCAGAATTTAAAGCTAGGTTGTTCACAACATTTATGGGATAATTTTAGATTGCACTGTAGAATCAAACAGAGCTCCAGATTTTATAGACAGAAATAATTCATATCTCAGCTTTCAATAGGAAAAACAATGATTGGTGATGATCAAAATCATTGATTACAACTGTAATTAAAATTAGAGCCCTGCGGAACACCAGTATGTAAATGCAATTGAAAATACAAAGATAAAAGATTAAGATAATTATCTGGCAAGCTTAATAATTTGAGCTTCATACATGATATGTCAAAATTAAGTGGCAAAGCTTTAGAAAAGTCTGTGGACACAAATATGTCAACATTCGGCAAGAAGAGTAGACATTTGTTGTGTGCAATTAGATGAATTTGTCACAGTCCATCTCCCTTTCACAAGCCCAAAATGATGGATAGATATGGTTTGAAATAAGATAGTAGAATATCATACAAATGATTCGCAAAGATTTTCAAGAAAAAAGAAAGAAGGGAGATCAGTCTAGATCTCAATCAAGCTTGGATCTCCACTCTTCAATTCCGGACAGATTTTAGCCACCTTCCACAAGGAGAGATAAGAAGCAGAGGTTATCATTGTGATGCCAATAATAAATGCCAGAGCTTGTTTTGAGCAAAAGCAAAGAATTATCCATTCCTGAGGTCAACCTATCTGGCATTCTGTTCAGCTTAGCAAAAACATTCTTCATTCAAAAATACACAATTTCCAAATTTTCTGAAATAAGTATGTAAATCAGCTTCACTCAAACTGATCAAATTCTTCAGAAAAAATGTAGCAAAATTATTTACATTAGTTTGAGGATGTGAGGACATACCTGAATTAAATGGTGGTGGAATTCTACTTGTTTGTATTTATTGACAAAAAGAGACCAAAACTTACAGGTCAGTTCTGAAGTATGCTTCATTCTTATTATAAAGATCTGAATGACACCAAATAAAATTCATCACATCTACACCAAGTTCTTTTACATTATTTTCCAAAATGAGAAAATGGACTGAAGTCTTCGAAGCCTATGTCTAATTTTGTCAATCTCTTTATTGAAGCAGAGAGGACATTTATTAGGTTCTTCTTTAGTTACTAGTGTACATTTATAAATAACTTCATATAAAAGATTATTGTACATGTATCATTAACATTATTAGATTCATTACAAAGTAACAGCGTTGACCAATCACACTTAAGTTTTTAACTTATCATGAAAATTCAAACACACAGAAATGGGGAAGGGACTAAACAGAGTGCACCTTAACCATGTCTCAATCTCAATATCAATGTCAAGGGGGCGGTAATAAACATTGACTGCATATATTGCCTGAGGATTGAGTGAGACAGCTTTTAAAGTTTCCAACAACAAGATCAAGAAGTCATTCATCACAATTTAGATCTGGGTTATATTTCTCAACGTTATAAAAGTTAATCAAATATAATAGAGATTTTGATCTCCCACTAACTGATTAGAGATCATTAACAGAACGAAAATCCAGTATATTAAAACCACCTGCAATCAGAATCTTATCTTCCCAAACCTGATTCAAGCCCATCAATTCATCAATCAAACATATCAGTATGTATTATTAGGAGGGGAATGTACATTAAGATGATAAAATAAGAGACAGGCTTGAAAACATTTTCATTCAATTCCTAGAGTGTCGACATTTGGTATCGAATTTGTGACAGGTTCCAAATTTAAATGTTTAAAGTCAAGAGTATTCTTTATTTCAAGAGAAACTCCATTGTCTCTTTTCCAAGGATCATAGTGAATAACATTATATACTTGGTCAAAACTCATCATATAATATACTCTAAGGATCAAGGAAAACTGGAAATCTTATAACTGTTTCTTGCAATGTTTAATAAATAACTAATATCTCTTGGCTTTTCTTGTAAACATGTGCCCTCTAATAGACATATTGGTGCTAATTATATAATTTGCTATTTGCAACTATTCATGTTTCCATATATACAGAGCGTTCAGGGCTGTAAACGATTATAATGACAACTTCTATAGCAGATGAACGTCGCCTAAGACCGCATCGCTCTCCGCTAAATATTCTTCCGCCAGTCAGCTGAGTTGCATTCACAGTTGGCCGCGGTTGACTGAATTTTGTTGTTAAATATAATTTTGATCGCATGGAGGTTAGAAACAGTTTTCATGAGAGATTCATTTAATTCCCTATCATTAATGATGAAAAATTATTCTAAGTGATTCAAAACGTTTCGAAATACTGTTGAGAACATATGTGATTGATTGAATTAAGACATCAGATACAAGAAATATGGAATATACTGCAAAGCTCCCACGTAGGCCTTGTAAAAAACTATCGGAATTCTGCCGGTACTTTTCGATCTTGCGTGTTCAGAAGATTCAATGTGCTGTATAATGTTTTGCAGTTATGATATCTGCTGTTTATAATTAAGGTTTCGTTTTCACGTTGCTCATCTTATGACTGACAGCCAGTGTATCAATTATTGATCAGTGACTTACAGATATGGTTAGTTAATTCTGAATTCGTTGTAATAATACTTAAGTACTATAATTTGTTCAGTGATTGGTAAAACAAGGCTTAATTGACATGTTAGACATGTATAATTAACATAAAACTACCATTAATTTGCTATTTTCTTTTCATAATTCTGGGTTCTCCTGATTGTACAATCTTGGAAAATGTTCACACTACATTCAAAGATTTCTATGGGAAAAAGGATACAAGTTAGTAGATATTCTGAAGTAGAACAAGAGTTATGTCAAATCATTTTCCAAACGTATATGACATATACTGCATTAAACATGTAAAGATACTGGCCATATCTCTATTAAGTAGTCACCGGAGCCCAGGCATGGGCACAGCACGAATGTTATCATCATCAGAGTCATCCTGAATATTTATTATGACAGAAATTCCTGAAGCATCCTGCCTAAGTTCTACTTTCCAATCTTCTTCTATAATTTTCTCTATGTGTGTCACATAATTCTTCCAACTAAAGCAATGTACAGAATGAATAATATCAACAAATTTTCTGCAAAAATAACTCTAGGCAATAATTTGGGTTTTCATTTTAATATTCACTTACTTCTCCACTGAAACCTGGTTTCATGCTTCCTTCCATTTTCTTGTTACTGCTTGGTGGTCAAAAGTGGTTCCGCAATGTCTCTGATAATATCTTTTTCACTGGCTCCATACCAACTCGATAGGATTGTAGTGACAACGGTAGGGTGGGAGGCGCAAAACTGTCCAGCTTCTTGAAACCTTTCATCTACAACATATCTGCACCCACATCAACTAATATTATTTTTCAAATAACGAAAACATTGGCAATCACATTGTATCAAAAGCATGCAAAAAATTAAACTGCCTTATTCTATGATTAATTCAACAAAACTTCTGCTTTAGAGTACCTTTTCTGAACAACTACTTCAGAAGTTTTCAAAACAAGACTCTTAAAGGTATGCTCAGGTCTAAAAGGAATGTAGTGCTGAGATAGAAAATGCTGCAGGGTCACCCTTCCTATTTTTGATGGAATTTCACTTCTTAGAAAATTGTTAAATGACATAGGATCGCTCTCTAATATTTCAGTTATTGATTTGAATTTCCCTTATTTTACGTGGTGTGACTGACCACGCCAAATTTTGCTACGCTCCTTTCATCAACTAGCAGAGAAAGGAGGTATTTCTTGGGCGAGAAAACAGGCAATTTTTTTTAAATTTAGCTCAGAGGCATCATTTAGGCTTGAGGACTTTCACAATGCAAGAAAATCTACTAACATGGGACAGTCGGCTTTACTTCCCTCCGAAAGGAGGCTGTACTGCAGGATTTCCTCGCCCTTAAAAATCCACGGCTTCGACCGGGTTTGAACCCGCGAACTTACCCGGGTACAACAGTCCGGTACGCTAACCGTTACACCGTCGCCGCCGCAGTTATATTCAAAGATAACATGCATTTCTTTTCATTCTCTCTATAAATATATATAAAACATTCTACTGGCAAAGTTGATGTTATCTAAGAAAAATGGTATTACTGATATACTTAAAATCACCTAACACCATTGAATGTAATAAATTTTCTATTCTACCCTTCTTAGTGAAACATCAACTTTCACCACTGTATAGTTTTAATACTCATTTTATAGTCGGTTATTTTTATAAAGGAATAAATGTACTATTTGAATGAATACTTTTCTCATTTTTAAAAGAACAATTGATGAAATGTTACTCACCAGCACAGATTGAACAGGTGCATTGTCCATTACAATAACTGATGATTCTGCTAACCAAGGTAATAATTCTTCTTTCATCCACTTTTGGAGCATCTCTGCTGTCATAGTTCTATGATATTCATTTACTTCTTTTGTCTTTGACGGAAACAATAGTTCTGCATCTTCGATGAAACCATTTGCACCTCCTGCAAGTAAGACTATATCTTTAACCTTCATCTAAATTTTTGCTTGAGCAACTCTCATTTTTATCTTGCCATGGCCGAGAGGCAAAACCTAAAGGATAGACCGTTAAAAACAATTAAAGATGAAATAAAATCATATTGAACCACTATGTAGGTGCTTGAAACTGGACAAATCATATTTATCATACACATAAGTCATTACACACACTGCTATTTTTAAGAAGATGAATTTTATTACATGCAAATCTTGCCTTCTCCATTCACGTATATCTAGAATTTTATAATTTTCAACACTACAAAATTTAGTCGATTTTGTGCTTGCCTTTTGAATAAAACCATGTTTCATCCAAAAGCACAAATGAATAACCTTCAGCCTTCAATTTCATATATTCCATCAAAAAATCAGATCTTGCAATAACAATTATCATTTCTTTCCATGCAAATATAAATAAATTACTTACCATTATTGTACATTGAATAAATAATGCGCCTAATCAAGCCCTGTCCAAAATCATCCACTACACATGTTTTGTTCCCTTCTATTCCTGGACACTTCCTTTCTGTCTGAGCAGTATCTGAGCAGTATCAGGGTCTTGCTTCCAATATATGTAAAATTAAATTCAACATTATCCAAAACAATTCCACCTGACACTTTTATTATAATTTTATTTACTTTTGAACTATGTGAGTTTTCAGCCTCAATTCATAGGCAGTTTTGTCAATAAGAGAAGTTTCTATATTGCCTCACATCATTAGCTCTTCCACAAATCTTGCAATAAAAAAGATGTGTTCTTGGCACTGATGCTGTGTCACTTCTCCCTTCTGCAGTGGACTCATTGCTAAAGTCGCTTAAAAACTATTGATATTTATCATAAACTACATTAAATATTGTTACAAAAATAAATATCTACTATAAGAAATAAAGTAATTAAAATGCAAGTAATTACAAATTAAATATTTTATAAATAGCCATTATTAATGCTATTAAATTGTTAATTTAACTTATTAGTATATTAATATTACATCTAATATTTCAATTAATTAAATATAATATAAAAATTAAATAAATAATGGAAATTCTCCGAAATATGTGGAGTGAAATCGTTCACATCTACTCCCCCCCCATTTCGATGGTCTCACAAAGGTTCAATAGGCTGAGGAGAAGGGTTCGGTCAGTGCCCATCTCTTGGGGTGCCTGGCAAAAATACATAAAACTATCATAAACACGCAAAACTGTCCTTGAAACTCGGGCAAAAGGCCTGCCCAGGGCCCGCCAACAAAAGAGAAGCCCTGTTAGCTGCACCTCTCTTTTCTGCAGTGAACTCTCCAAATTCTAACTGAACACAGTATGCGTAAATTATTAACTTTTAAAAATAGTAACCTTGAATATAGTTTCAAAATTCTTCAACAATGTTTTATCACTCTAATAATAAATTTTTAATTGAACTTTCTCCTTTGTCGGAATAACAATACATTAAGTTGTGCCACAGCGCCACGACATGTTAGCCAACGTTTGTGAAATGAAATCGAATCATTTTTGCATTTTAAATACTGGGCCACGCCTCCAGGCATGATCCATGTGGTATGGCATCAGTGGCTGACAAAAAAACTGGTCACATGACTGAACGCTCTGTATAATATCATGTTCTGAGTATTGAGGTGTGTAAATGGTAAAATAAAATGAGAAAATTTATAAGTTACCAGATCTCGCAATAAAGTTGATGAATTACAAATGGGAATATTGTAACCATTTGATTATATTTGTGATTGCTATGTGTAATTGCTCTAATTTGATGGTTTATTTCAGAAACAACATAAGTCATTTTTTTACAATTTTGACTTCTTAGTGCAGTCATATTCTCTGTATTACACGCATTATTTGAGGCTGATCTTCTTAAGGTTCAGAATGATTCTGGATGGTTATTGGAACAGACCTTCTAAAGACTTCACTCACTGATTGTGATACGTAGCTGCCATCAGAGTTACGTTTGCCAAAACTGAAAAGTTCCTTTTCGCTGACTTTCTTTCTGAAATAAACCATTCAATTATTTTGTAACCTGATTCTTGGGTGAAATGCAGTTATGTTAATTTCAATTTTATTAGCAGATTGTTTTTGTGAAGAGTTAGTTCACAAAAAGAATACGAGAAGTTGTAGTTACTCTAGAGATCAGAGTTTTGTATTACTGTGATGTATTGAGATTTTGCTCTGCCTGTGATACAGCAGTGGCTAGAGATCAAAATTAAGATAATGAAAAGGGCAAGTTGTGTGTTAGGCCATGCAGTTGAGGCATCTTCTTTCTTTTAACCCAGAGCTCATTGTGAAACGTAAGAATGTATGTGTCTGAGGCAGGTCCATGTAAAGGCATGGGCCCGAAGGGCCTATACCCAGGACCCCCAATTGTGCTTTAAAAAAAATTTAATACTAAGTAGTTTAAAAAATAAAATAACATATAAAAAAGTGCTGTATGATTAAACTCTAGGCAAAAAATTGACATAATGGAGTGATGTGTCATGCATCATTAGATAATATGGAATATTGTTGGTTGATGTAAGAATGTCTTGCGATGATGAAAAGTTTAGTTTTTTTAACAAAACTTGTTTTTAAATTGGGAGTGAGGGTGAAAGTAAGAGTAGAGGGCCTCCAAATGAATGTAGGCTTAAGGGCCCCCAAAGCTGTACAGCTCTGGTCTGAGGGAAGTGCCAACTACAAGCTTACTTAACATCATACTCACTTCCTCTAAGGAAAAACATAAATCCCTGTGTCAGAAATATAGAACTCAGAACTACACATTTCTTTTGTACTTTCAATAAGAATCATTGCCTGGTCAATAATTAAATAGATTCTAACACAAAAGTATACATATATTTTGCAGGTGCTTGTGTGAACTATGCTAACTCCCTCACCGGAAGCCTTCCTCTACATGAAGCTGTGGATTATATTCGTCCCTCTCAGTGTGAAACCTTCGAAGCGATGTTCAAACTTTTTCTAACACACGGTGCAGCTTTGGATGTTCAAACCTGCACAGGAGGCGACTCTCCATTGTTTCGAGCTGTTCTTCGCGAGCGTCCACAGGCTGCAGCTATCCTGATTCGACACGGTGCTGATGTTAATGTGTGCAGCAACGTTTCTTGCGTTGTAGACATCCTCACTTTGGCGTTGATGAGGGATAATTTTCCATTAGTGCGTATGTTAGTGTATGCTGGTTTTAACCTGCAGAAGAATCTTCCTGACACTGTTCCCCAGGCTGCAGTTTCAATAAATGCCTGGTTGCATCATATGAGAAAAAATGCGATGCGGTTGACAGACTTGTGTAGAATATCAATTCGTCGTATGTTGAGGACCAATCTTTGTTCAAAAATTAGTCGTTTGTATTTACCGGTCTCTCTTAAGTCATATCTTATGTTAGAAGATGTGACTTTGGATGATTAAATTTCTGCAAGATATGGTGCTGCAAAAGTACAAAATGAAAATTTATAAGGAAATTAATTATGTTAATGGCAGGTGTTTATGAAAAAATGTAAGAGATGCAAGAATCTTGCTACAGCATTTTTTGCTATGTAGAAAAAATGACAGAAGATAAATAATCATAGAACTTGTAATTAAGTTCTAGTTGGTTGATTGATCTTGTGCACGGTTTATTCCCCAAGTTGACCACTGCCTATTGTTTTGGCTGCCTCTGACCATTTGTAATTCATTGTATGAATGTTTGTTATTCTTTTTTTGTTTTTTATTTTTCTTTTGGTTCAGACCATGATTGTAGTTGTAGAAAGCTAAGGAAACAAGTAATAAACATTAAGACATACATTTTTCTAGGCAGGGTACTTGGTTTGCTAAAGAATGCATCGAAAAATTCATACAAGAGGAAATTAAATTTGTTGTATAAGAATGAGTCAGTTTATAAATTTATAGAAATGTTTTGAATTGCTGATCATTATTGTACATGAAATGTACAATGTACAATATTATAATGATTATTTCTTATTTCTTGATGATCATATCAATTTTTATACTTTTATTTTAGTTTTGAATGTTATTTTCAAAATATATTGTTTTGCTCAATGAAATTTAAAATAATATGAAGATTGATTGAAGCTGTTTTTATTATTAATACATTTGATTCTTAAAGAATCGTTTCATCAAAGAAGTGTGATGCATTCCACTTAAAATGTAATGTAAGTATTAAAGAAAAGAATTTTGGATAGATATTAGTCTACATTTTAAACTCAGGTGACATTGCAGTTAACAGTTAGAAACTTCAAATGAGTGATGATAGTTACTTATAAAAAAATGATAGTTTCCTAATACATGTAAAATACTTGTAGAAGAGGATAATATTTCATTTTCTAAAAGACCATCAACATCTGAAATAGACTGTGAAGTAACTACAATCATGAAAGTATTGAAGGAGGGGACACTGAATATTAATGATTAATTTGTTGTAAATTGTTTTATCTTTTGTCTTCCTCCTCAATGTTGTTCAAAGGAGATGTGCAATACTTCTCTAAAACTGCTGTGTACTGCCAAAATAGTTCAGGGAGAATTTCTTCTTTATTTTCTGGAACTTGCAAAAAAAAACAACTTTGAAGGAAAAGCCGGTGAATACTTGATGTCCAGTACTTTTATTTATTCCTTTTAATGTAGTAATGATTAAATTGTAGTTGTCATTTTTAAGAAAACATCTCAAATTCTTAGATTAGTCTTTCTTTCTCAAAATTTTCAGTTGACCAATTATGAAATAAAATTAGAATATTGATTAATCTGAATGAAACTCTCTCTGTAAATATTTCATTAATAAATTTATGAATATATTATGACAGAATGGCAGCGAATATTGTACCTCCGAATTGTAGAATTATCTACAAGAAAAATACTGTTTGCAAACCTACATCAACGTAATGTGAACATTTAGGATTATCAAAGATATTACAGTATGTCAAAGCTAACTAATCTTTCTGGAACTGTGCTTCCTTTTGCTCTGCTTTCAAAACTGTTTAAATATTCTGCGCAATAAATTGCAATATGAAAGCTTATAAGGTATGCTTCTAAAGTAAGAGGCCTTGTAAATTTCACTAATTTATTATTGATTCTTGTCTTGCACGTTTGAAATTAGATGCATTATTCCCCTGGGTATCTATTCTCTCAATCAAAAGTGTATGGGAGTTTTTTTGTTGTTGTTGTTGTTGTTGTTTTCATGAAAACAATAAAAATATTAGTATGCAATCATTTAGAAATAGTACTTAAAAATTTAATGTTTTTGAAAACATTTGTTCTCAAGATGCCAATCAGTTCTCAATCTTTCTTTCTTTCTTTCTTTCTTTCTTTCAATGCCTTCTTAAATGCATTCTAAGAAATTATTAGTTGTCATTGCCAACAGGAATGCTTTAAAGTGAAATGCAATTAGAAAGAAGGCATTGAAAAATAAATGAAAATATTTGATGTCACCAAATATTTGATGTCAAGTGTGAACTGTGATATTTCTTTAATATCTCGTATTTACTATTTCTTATATCTCTTTCCTTTTTTGTTTTACTTCATTATGCATTTTAATTTACAGTGAAACTTGACTTGGGCGATCACCTATGGTCCCAGCAAAAATTCCACGTAATAATGATTCTGGGGTTACTGGAAGTGTAAATCAAATTCAAATGTGCTAATTGCTATGAAATGAAGTATTTCTCTTAACATTTTTAATTACAATAAATTAGAAAGTACAATTGAAACAATGTATTTAGGATGTTCTCTTGGATTATATTGCCACTCATTCTCTTAGTTGAGAAACTCGCTTTCCGTCTAACTGAATAAATCAATCAAACAAACAGACAATTAGACTTGAAGATGCAATTCTTATCGTATAAAAATTTTACAACAAGGTCATCAGATGAAGCAGTTAGCAAATGATCTTTAGATTGGATTTGTGCGTGTGGCATAGACCTAGAGTCCTTAACAGATTCCTTTAGAAGTGAAGTATAAGTTAGCAAACCATAGGAATGTTTTGAATTGGGACAAATGAAAGGCAAAGTTTCATTAAGAGATATTTTTTTACAATCATCTGGTGTTATCTGCAATAGGAAGTAAGCATAGAGAAAATCAGGCTGATATTATTTGAAGCAATGTGACATTGCATTTTGTCAGGAAAAACTTAGACCAAGAGTAATCTTTAACAGTTTCTCACTTATTATAAAACAGTTCAAAATCGCTTGAGGTGGCTGCTTAATAAAAGTCAATTGTGAAATGTGCCTCATCACTGGCCACCTATTCATGTAGCCACTGTAAAGAGGGAATGTTTGCTGTCTTGTCTTTTAGAAAATGCATTCGGCTCCATGAAAATTTGCTGTTAGCAGAGACAGCCACTTAATCAAGATAGCCATTCAAGCAGGTTTCACTGTATTGAGTTTTAATTGATGTTTTTAGAGATACAATGTTTTCAAGAAAAGTAACTTCATTTGATTATTACCAAATTGAGCTGTTCCAATAAAAATTGCAACTACTACTGGTAATTTTAATGTTAAGGAATGCCTTATTTATCTGATGGTATTGACATACCTTTAAAAATAGGGCTATTGAAAGAAAGATGAAAAAATTGCCCTGTTTTGTCCTTTATATAAGGCTCTTGAGTTTCAAATTCCATTCATCCTTTAAGAACAGACAACTCATATTAACACCCAAGGTTCTTTATCTAAGAACATGTTACTTTTGTGATTGTAATTATAACATTTGGATTCATAATTTATTGATTATGAATTGTTTTTGACAATTTCCATATTTTGTCTTATTCCTGTTTTGTGATAAAGTTCATAGGAAATACATTTATAGATCGTGTATGCTAGTAAATAAGTTTTGTAAGGCTGTAGCAAACAGTCATTTGAGAGAATAGTTTGTTTGTTTGAGGGATATAGCAAACTATGAATTTTATGTAATATCTACATCTTCCATTTAATTTTTAATTGCCAGATAATGTTCTAGAACTCAAATTTGAGATTAATTTAAATTGATTAATCTTGAACATTGAAACATGTAAAACCACATCCTTTCCATTTATGGGTGAAATAGGTATATTTTAAGTTACATCAATAAGTAATCAGTGCTTAGACACTGAATTTTCTGTGTTCTGCCATGGCTACCTTCAGTGAGGTACTACTAGCTTTGGTTCTGCCCAACCTTACCCTTCATGAAATCCAGAAAAGCACAAAATGCACATTTGCCTTAAAGGAAATTGTGTCACTATTAAAAATTTTGAAATGGAAATTTATTAGATCATGATTCAGATTCTGCTATAGTTTAATTGATTTTATGTTGGTCTCAAATTAGCTGTATGTCTTATAATTTGTTGCTTTGATAAGGAATGTGTAACTTTGGATCTTAAATATATGATGAACATAGGCACAAAGGAATTAAGAGCTCTTATTGTTTGTTTTTTAATGTTTTGCTTTTCAAATTCACAGGGCTTAAGTTAATACTATAATTTATGGAAATAGTAACATTGTTATCCATTATAGATTGGTGTTTTGTATGAAAAGAATACTGTAACAAAATTTAAAGGAAAATAGCTAGTTTTATGTTGAGTATTTAGCCCCCTAACTGATATATGGTTCCCTATAGCTTTTGAGATTCAATTTAACGTTGTGTTGAGATTCAAATTTGTTTCCTGTATAAAAGACACCTCTGATGCCCTCAAAGCTGAAAAATGAAAGAGTTACATTCCACAGAGTATTCAATATATATAATTGAAATAAATGTCTGAAATTGTTTGCCTGGCAAATTATGAAGATCCCTGCATGAGAATACGAAAATTTATTTTTGTACTATTGAAGTGGCAAAAATCATATTAATTAGTGTCTGAATGAAAACTTCCATAACTGACTCTTACTGCTGGTGTTAGAAACCAGAAAAGGATGTAGAAAATGCCTTACTTTAGTCAGCTTAAGGCTGAATAACTTGCGTAATATTGGAAGAACAATGCAAGAGAATTTAAATTTGTTGATGACTCATAGTTTACCCCCCCCCCACTGTCTCCCTTGATACTAAGAATAGAATACCAAGGTTTATTTTGAATTGGTTTCATTTCCCTGAGCTCTTTAATTTTTTATCTGCCTTTTTATTGATATCTTTATATTTGATTTGGGACCGCATTTTTTATTTGATATGCCTTCAACATTTTTGTTTTCATCAATGATACTTCTTGAATTGGCATCTACAAAGTGACAAAGTGAATGCATGTTTGTAGAGTGATACAAAATGAATGTGATCTTATATATCTTAGTAATAATATCTTTCCATAGATTATGCATCAGTAAATATTTGTCTTCAGCTTACATGTCTACTCTTAACCCACCAATGGAATTTTCTTGTTTCATTATTTGTTTGTCAGCACAAAATATGTTTACATTGTTTCCTCAAAGAGGTCATGATACAATTGGAACTTCTGCAAGTCAAAATACTAAAACAATTAGTAACATTATCTTAGCCATATTATTTTATAAATTAAATTCACTTAAATAATTAAATTTGTTCAAAGAATTGGTTGCTCAGATTCTTTGAACAAATTTATTTAATAAAATGCATTGTTACTCATTAACATGGTCACAATGTGGATTCTTTATTGCTGCAGAACAGATTCTCCTAGCGTAATCGAGTCCAACAAGGTAACGAGAAGGGCACAATTATATAAATTCACTTTCTTTACTGAATGTCAGTGACGTGGTTGTTTCTTTTCTTTTCTCCTTCATCTCTCTTCAATCTATGAGGGTACTTCAAAAACACTGGAAATTTCCTTCCCTTTGCATGAAATTTCCTTCAACATTGTGTGTACTCATTGTAAATGTAGAAGTTATTCTGTTTTCATGAAGCATTGTATTTCAACAGTTTTACACGATACATTGTCTTGCCTTTTTTTCTCAAAACACAAATCAAAGCTCTTCATATTCAAGTGCATTTGGTTATTAATTGAAGACACTTGGCACTGCCAAACTAGTTTATGGTTCAGCACTTGATTAATAACTAATTAATATACATGTTTATTGACATTTTTTTTCTATTGAACATGTTGTAACCTGGAGACTGATATTGTACTGGTTTATTGCAATTTGCCACTGTGTGGAAATTATACTTTTGTGATAAAATGTATGGTGTAGTGAGGAGAGATAGGGTATATGGTTTCTCTATGAACAATGAGAAAATTTTCAAGTGCACTCAGCTTCTTGAAGCACATGACTCTGTGATAATGCTTGTGCTTGGAATCTGACTCTGCTGCTAAGACCCTGTGATAGTGGTCTATTCTAGTCAGTTGAAGCATCACTCAATGTATAGTTGAATATGAAATAAATGAAAATAAATTATTGATGATATTATCATATATTTGTTTTATTGCATTTAGAGTAGCCTTGACCTAATTTCATTATTTTCCAGACAAAGAAGTTTAAAGTTTTATGTAGATTTGTAAAATTGTGTTGTGCCAAGACTGGGTACACATGTGCAGCTTCTATTGTAAGTCCTTTGATATGTTTAATATATTGTTTTAATGCCTTTTTAGTAAAATTAATTTAGTTTTTGTTATAAGTTTAACAAATTCTTATAGGTAGGTAATTCAGTCTTTTATTTTGGGTTCTGATTTTTTCTTACCATTTGAGAATGCATAAGCTTAATTTCAAAAGATGATCCTTGCTGTAAATAATATTTAATTTCCAGTTTATTCTATTCTTTTTTTACTTCATTTTTCTTACTCCATTTTTGTACTTAGCATTACCGAAGTTTTTACAAAATATTTACCTTTTTTCTGGTACTCAAAACTTTTGTACGTCCATTGGTTTTATTTTTAAAAAGGAAGAAAATAACATTATTTTTCAGCAAGTGTATTCATTTTATTTCGGATATTAAATCATGATTGTTGTTGTTGTTGTTATTATTATTATTATTCATTCCTGCTGTTGTGATAAATTTTTATGAAGTATTTTAAGTATATTATTAAGTTAATTTTCCGATTAAGGAGGTAGTTGATTGCTAAAAATTGGTTATTATTCAAAAGCTTTGTTTAAAGAAATATATGGTATTGTAAGCATAATACAGTAAAAAAATTTACTGTCACTAGTAATTTTTATCAGTGTACAAGTATGTCGAGATTGAGAATCGAAAATTAATAAAGAAAATTAGTGATGAAGTTAATCTGACAGACATATATTTACGAGTCAAGTGTTGAAATGATTCAAATCTCGCACTTAATTTCCTAATCTGGTCTCCGACCCTAGCAACACTTCACAGACCCTAGTTTATGATTAGGCTGCTAGGTAGCGCCGCCCTACATTGTGTTAGTGGCAGCTGCCGCCGCCGCGCGGCGCGCCCGCGGCGCCACGCGTTCTGCGCGTGCGCGACCTTGCCCAAGGTGAGGCGTGCACGCTCTCGCCCTCGTCTCGCGACAGTCCGCCGCTGGCCGGCACACAGCGTCGACGTGAGGTTTTAAAGCAGCGACCGCTCCGACCTCTTCCCCCACGAAAATGTCGGTTCAGAGCGATATCGAGAAGCGCAAGCAGATCAGCGTCCGGGGCATAGCCCAGGTGGAAAACGTCTCCACCATAAAGAAGACGTTCAACCGACACCTGCATTACACGCTCGTCAAGGACCGGAACGTTGCCACCCCGCGAGACTACTACTTCGCGTTGGCCCACTCCGTCAAAGACAACCTGGTGTCGAGATGGATCCGCACACAGCAGTACTACTACGAGAAGGACCCCAAGGTAGGACACCCGTTTGTAGGCGGCGCTTCGCGGGCTGATAAGGCACCCGGGCTCCCACGCGCGCATCACCTGTTTGTTTTCTCTCGGCGGTTTTTTCCCCTACTGCCGACAGACGAGTTGACGGATTCGTTGTGGGCTGTGTCACCCTCTGGTTTTATTTTTCTGAATGAAACCGGGAGCTTACGTAACGTGACGTGACGGGCGGGCGGAGTGGATGTTTGGTCCGTCAGCTGTTGAGCTGACCGCTTGTCCTTTCAAGGACACGTCGGTCGCACTATTTGGGAGGAGGGGGCGTAGATCGTTCGTTCACCCTTCCCCTTCCTCTCGCGATCGTCTTCCGCTTCCAAAATCTTATTTATGCGTTTAGTTTATATTGGTTCAAGGAAGGAATGTTTCTTTGTACGATCCGGAGGTGGGTCATGAAAATTCTTAATTCATTAAATGTTGGTGCCAGTGGTTCGGGCAAAGTGACGTTACGCTTTCGAACTTGGTACTTGTTGGCGTCTTGTTCTTTCGTAGCCCTCTCCAAACTAAACAAGTTTAAAATAACCTGTCATTCCTTTTTGAGAATATCCGGAACTGGACTGTTTTGTTACGAGAGTTTTGCCACTTTGTTTTCGTGTAAATAGTTTGCTTCGAAAAGATTAAATTAGTTCGAAAACTATTTATTTATTTTTATTTTACGTCAAAAGCTGTTAAGTGTGTTTGCCCTGATTTAATGGTTGGGAAATGTTTATCCAAATGAATACTAAACTTAAGTTTAGGGTATTAATTTGTGAACCAAATGTTAATTTGTCATAAAAGTATTAAAATTGTCTTAGTCGTAATACATTACAGTTTAGCTCTGGTATATCTTTAGCAGTTTAGCCCTGGTACAGTCGCCCGGCATATTTCCAATGTTCACTTATTAGAAGAAAAATTTTAACAATATTGTGGCATTTATTGTTCCATTCAATTTTATTTTGAAATAAATGCTGTAGTATGTTGTTTGCCCAATTCATATATGTTGTTAGAACATAATTTATATGGTTGTAATAACCTCTCAGGGTATTAGCGGCTCCAATTACATGCATTACAATAACATTTAAATTTCTTGATGCTCATTTCTTTCGAAAGCATGATAAAGTGCTTACGCCTGGAACTATTTTGGCTCTTTATCTGAAATATTTAATCTTAGAATTAGCTATAATAATAATAATAATAATAATAATAATAATAATAATAATAATAATAATAATAATAATAATATACACTATTGGAATATACAATTATCGTTCAGGCAAAGACCATAACTTGTCTGTAAAGCATGAAATCTTGATCTAAGTTGCTAATTACCTTTTGAATTGTCATTAATGACGAACTACTATCGAGTAGAATCATTCACCTCGCAATTGGGATGGTTCCATCTCGGAAGTGTTTTGAAAAATGAAAATTCTTAGAGATAAGATAAAGATGACGGCTAATTTGGGCCAGTAAAATTCATACCGATGTAGCCATGGCGGCGTTTTCGTAAAGGTAACTGTGACTGCACTTCACTATCTCGCGGAGAAATACCTTTGTGTTTATACGAAATGTTTTCTTTGCATTTTGTTGACGCGGTGATGCAGGTTTGTGGGACAAGTCGGCACTTTAAGACACGACTTTTTTTTCAAAATAGCAAATAATTAAAATTATTTGTTTTAATACTCAGAAACTCTAAATGTTTAGAAAATATTCTGTATATCGAAAAAACAAAGATGAACATTTTAAAATTATTATAAAATTAATAAGCTAATATTTTGAAAAATGTTGGTCCTATAAATACAGTTTTGAAAGCACTAGTGAATTGGTCATTTTTATAAATTAAATAATGATTGGAGAAAAATTAGTGTTATTGAAAACCGTTGTAAAGTTATTAGACATTTTATATATTCTTCATTTAAGTTTATTAACATCAATAGCTCAAATTGGCAATGTTCACGGAAATTTTAAAAACTGTATTTATTCATCTGGAATGTTAATAAGCTACCCGGGAAGGGCAAAATTAATGTTACCTTGGAAATCAAAACTACCAAAACCTTCTGCTCACAAGTAAAGGTCTTGTGAAGCAGCTGGGTTGCATTCATCAATGGTTTCGACTGCATAGATGCCAGACTTGGTGCTACAGGCCGAGCCGGCCGACGGCACTCGCCGTGCCGGCCTAAGTTTAATCCTGAGGTCACAACCTGCCCGGGGCGACAGAGTGGGAGTGTGTTGACGAACACAAAAGCCACGTGCATTCCGCGGGGGGCTTTCACAAAAAGGCCGGGGAACGGCCCCATCCACTACTCTCCCTGCTTCTTTCGTGTGCCGTTTTCAATCACATGCAGGGAGCTAGGATTTGTGAAAAATACGTTCGTATAATTAAGGTTTTTGCCGATATCACACGCAAGGTGCATGCGATGATCTTGATCAGTTTTGTTTAATTTTAAATGTTTGAAGTACCAACAAAGGCGTGCCTAGGATTTATCTCTGGGCAGGAGTACTGTCCAACTGACTTAATGTTTTCTGAAAAGGAATTTATTTATGCCGAATATAAAATGATTTTTTTATTTGTTGGCTTAGTTAATATGTATAACGTTCACAATTGATATTTTTGAATAACTTTCGTTAGTCAAGAAAATTGATAAAGCAGTTTTTATATCTATCATTGACATTTTCACAGGCGCAGATCCACGGGGAGGCAAATTCCCCACCCCCCTAAAAATTTTCAATATCTAACTTGTCACGAAACTGTCAAGCAAAATATTTCAGGATCATTAAAACGAATAAAACCGTAATACAGCATGAGTTAGTGTAGTCTTCCACATATTTCAAAATCTGTAATGACACCTTTGACTAAAGCTTTTTGAATCTCCCCTCCCAAAATTCGTCTCTGAACCGCCCCTGGAGGGAAACCCCCGTGAGCCTCCACCCCATGGGTGCGCCACTGAGTACAAGTAAATGGCTAAAATAGTAATTCTCACGTGCTTACAAACATAACAAAAAGGATATTTGACCATGTTAATGGAGTTCCTGTTAATCGCACAAGTTATTCAGATGTGTCGCCAAAATCTTTTTAATTAATTCGCAAACGTTGTTCTCAACGGGGCTCGTGACCTTAGAAATGTGCTTACCACTGTTAAAAATATTCATTTTATAAAGCAGGTGGTGCAACAATGGCCTAATGCCATCGGCCACTTTAAAAAAATCGAACTTAGTCGACCGTCCCTCTGCTCTGTCTACACACACGGTTTTCTTAATGGCTGGAGTCTCTTCTTGATCAGCACTGATGAATTTCGAATTATAAGTAACGACTAGCGTTGATAAGAATACATTTTCGCCCTCCCCTCAGTTAAATAGAATCTATTTGCTGAAAGTGGATTGTCACAAAGTGCAAATAAGTAAGGAATGAGACGGCGAGAGTTTTTGTTATTTGAGCAGATGTTCTACGAATTATCCTGATTGTTCTTGTTGAATTAGTTCTACGGTATAGAACCTATTTGCTTTGACAATGTAGCAAAAGACGGATCGTCCATAAGTTGGGTAACGCAAATTTGGAATATTTTTAATAACTCTCCCTCTTGTATTCTCTTCCCTCCAAATATTAAGGAAGTTTGCCGGCACTCCTTTCATTTTCAATATTAAAATAAATTCTGTAACAGTCAAAACAATTTGGTAATTAATTTTATTGTGTTATATTTTAATTATTATGAGAAGTGCAATGTAATGTCGTGGAGATATATGGGGAAAAATATACTGCATCTATTTAATTGGAATATATTATTAGTGGAATATCTCTCATATCGTTATCGGATTTTTCTTCAAAATGTAAGGCTCAATATACCATCAATGAAAAAAGAATCGATTATTGTAAACATTTGTATATCATAAAATTTTAATTTATTTATATTACGTGATTTAAATTGTTAATACTTAAAAAAATTGTGTAGGAGTGTATACAAGGAATTATTTTCTCAATGAAAAATCTATCAACGTAATGTAAGACTAAATTAGTACCCTCTAACTCCATGTAATGTAGTGTAACACTGCCTCAAACACCCTTACCCTCTTTAGTGTCACGTAATTAATGGACGACCGCCGAGTTCGTTAGTTAACTGGTAGAAGAATGATAGCATTGGTAATAGTGCTGGTCGAAGTAACCAAACCTCCAGGAGTATCTACGTAGCAAAAATTATGGCCGAAGAAAACATCAACAGCTTAAAAGAAACCTGTTTCATGAAGAGGCTTTGTGTAAAAGATTGAAACCTAGGAATGAGCGTTTTCTTGATTCCGCTTGCGTCAGCTACTTCTAGATCAGTTGTCTACTATAGCTAGTACCTTTTTTTTACGAGGGGAACTGTGGAAATCTTCAACAAGACGAAGAGGAGCCCGCGCTCCTCAACAGTGTGAGATTTTTACCCACTAAAACCACAAACATTTTATGTTCCTGAAGTTATCCATCCTGGAACCGCAGTAATGCATTACTTCAGGATATAGACTAGTACTAGAATACTACTTGACTACTTTTAGTCGATCAGTTGACTTGTAAATGAAGTGAATGTTACATTCCGAGAGGTGGAGGTGTTCCTCCCCGGTGGGGTGAGAGATCCGTCGCCGGCTTATTTTAGGGGTGGGTTTCCATCCCACCCCCAAAAGATAACTTGCACCACCGGAGCCGGTACAACGTCTTAAGTTTCCCACTAGCCTCCCGACGTGTGTGCAAGTGTAGTGTACATGTCTGTGTAAGTAAGGGGTGAAGATAGGATTCTCTTGGTATGAGGGAATCTACGGAAAACTACTTATGAGAGTAGCCGATCGCTAGAATTCTCGTCCAGACAAGACTCGACCTAGTTATGTAATTAGTGTCGCAAATCCGCCGTCGGGACTCGACCCCTACGATGCAGCAGAGGCAGTAGCGTTGCCGCTGAGCCAACGCAGCCGTTCAGACCAGAGAAGCCACCCCTCTGGTCGTGAGTGTCTCGCTGAGAGTGCGCGGCGCG